AAGCTTACCCAGTGTCTGTTGTGGTTGTTGTCTGTTTAATTTTTAATCTTTTTTTTTTATTTTTTTTTGAGACAGGGTTTCACTCTGTCCCCTGGGCTGGAGTGCAGTGGTGTGATCACAGCTCACTGCAACCCTGAACTCCTGTGCTCAAGCAGCCTTCCTGCCTCAACCTCAAACATAGCTGGAACTACAGGTGTTCACCATTACACCCAGTTTTTTGTTTTTTTTTTAATTTTTAGTAGAGACGAAAAATCGCTATGTTGATGAGGATGGTCTTGAACTTGTGAGCTCAAGCAATCCTCCCACCTCAGCCTCCCAAAATGCTGGGATTACAGGCTTGAGCCACCATGTGCTGTCTCGGGTATTTCTTTATAGCAACTCAAGAACGGCCTAATACACCAGGGCTACTGCAGCAGCCTTCTAACTAGTTTTCCTACCTCCAGTCTTCCTCCACTCTAATAATTCTTTGGATTATGAATTTCTTTATTTAAAAGTAATTAAGCACCAGTAAAATACATCTCTCTGAAACACACATCTGACCATATCACTTCCAAGTTTTAAAACCTTCAGCAACTGTCAACTATCTGTAAGTAAAGTCCAAGTTCCTTACCCTAGAAGAGAAGGCCTATTATAACCTGGACCTGGTGCCATTCCAGCCTCATCTTCTTCCACTGCCCCTACACACCCAAAGCTACAGCGACTTCTTTTAATACTCAAGGTTCAGCCTTATGTTCTCTTTCTGTGTCTTGCCCCTTGATCCTTTGTCATTTACATAGCTCCAACTATTGTCCCTGAGTGAAGCCCAAATCTCTGTCTTCAATCCTACACTCTCTTTGGAGCTCCATATTTCTAGTTGCTTGCAGGGAATTTCCATCCTGACTTGACGGGCCCCAAACTGAACTCAGTAAGTTCCTCCCCAAAGGTGGAAGTGCTCGGTGACTTCCTTAGTTCTGTGTTACTCCTGGTCGATTAGAATAAGTGACCTTTACTCTTCACCCTTGCCTTGGGCCCATTCCTGGACATGTCAATTAAGCCAACAAATGCTGTCAAGTCTCCCTTTCTTTCATCTGTTTGCAATGTCCTTTTTCATTCATATGACCACTACCAGGATCAGAAAGATCAGTACAGCCCAGGACGTGACCCATTCTTCACCTTTCTCTCCAGTCTCAAAGGAAGAGGCAACATGTTTTCATCACGTCGGTCCCTGTGCCCTTGTTTTAAAACCCCAAACAGGTGCCTCTTGCTTACAGGTCACAGTGAAGGAGGTCTTCACCACAGAAGACCTAGAAAAAAAAAAAAAAGATAAAAAACGTGGCAGGCCCCCAAACTGAACTCGGCATCTTCCTCTCCAAGGCTGGAAGTGCTCATGACTTCCTTAATTCTGTGTTACTTCTGGTCAATCAGACTAAAAAACTACAAGTGATCTGCAGAAGTGTCATCTACTAACAATCACAGTGAGGATAGAGTGGGGTGGGACTGGGCAGTTAGAAAGACTTTATAAGTCCTTGAGCAGCAGGGGTGGGAGCTTGTGGAAAAGTACACAGGTAGCTTCAACAGCACTGTAATGTTCTGACTTTAAAAGAGTGATTTAAATTGAGTTTTTGTTCTTAAATTATGCTTTATAACATGTAGACATATATCCACCATCTATATTCTTTTGTACATATCAAATGTCTGGTTTTCATTTTTAAATTTGTTTGCAAAAGAGAAGTCCTAGAACAGTCTCTAGGAGCCCAGTAGGGAATCGGTAATAAGGGGCATAGGACATTAATATTTGTGAGTGTTTACTATGTCAGATAGATCAGGAGATGAGGAAACAAATTCTCAGGAGTTAAGTGGTTTGCCTCTGGTAACATAGCTGGAAAGTGTTAGTTTTGGCATTTGAATCCACATATATTTGACCCCAAAGCTTGTCTCAGAATAATGCCAGAGGGAATTTGCATGGTTTAAACACAATCTTGCCAACCAGAGGCTATGACCCCTGAGTACATGTTGGTATGAAAAATTCCCCAGAGTTACAATGTCCAGTGTCCACCGTGAAACATGACAGAGGAACCTTCTCTCTTTGAGGAACCCTCTCTCTTCTTTCCGTTTCCCAGCTTGCATCTTCCTTATTCTCCTCCACTTCTCCTTTCAGACTCACTGCTTCCAGCTTTGGCCTCATCTCTACTTTTACTTCATTTACAACGGGGCAGAGGCTACCTCAGAGCAGAGGAGGAGGAGAGTTGGGGTGTGTCACCTGTTTTGGAAAGAGAATCCACAAGTGGGCAGCAGTCTGAGGGGCTTGTGCTTGGCAAAGCAGATGTGGACAGAGGGAATCAGGAAAGCTTTGGACTGGGAGGCATGATAGAGACTCAGAATAGTCAGTATTTAACAAGTCTGAAAAGAACAGAGACTGACATGGCTCACCACCGGATTCAGGATTCCAAGTGGCATTTTGGTGCTCACATCCCACAGTGCTGAACAAATTCCATTAGTAGTGGAGCAACTCGTAGCTGAATGACTCAGGCTGCAGAGGAGAAATCCAAGAGAAGGACTGAGCTATATTCCCCTAGTCACTAATGAATCATTACGTCAGTAGATCACCCCCTTTAAATAAATGCAATATACACAAACCCACATTTATAAGACATAAGTTGGGGAATACTTAGTTACCTACTAAAGAGTTCTTTCTTTTAAAAAAGAAAAAAATGGCCAGGCACCGTGGCTCATACCTGTAATCCCAGCACTTTGGGAGGCCAAGGTGGGTGGATCACCTAAAATCAGGAGTTCAAGATCAGCCTGGCCAACATGGTGAAACCCCATCTCTACTAAAAATACAAAAATTAGCTGGGCGTGGTGGTGGGCGCCTGTAATCTCAGCTACTCAGGAGGGTGAGGCAGGAGAATCACTTGAATCCAGGCAGTGGAGGTTACAGTGAGCTGAGATTGCGCCACTGCACTCCAGCCTGATGACAGAGCAGAACTCTGTCTCAAAAAGAAAAAAAAAAGGAAAAAAGAAAAAAATGAATTTATTTAACTAGGGACTTCTAGTACTTTTTCAGTTGGGTCCAATTGATAGAAATTCCATTAACATCCAATGCACTGTGATAGGAGGGAGGCAACTGGGAATAAAGAAATACGAGGAACCTCGAGTCAGGTGGCCTGAGTCTTAGTCCTGACTGTTTTCTTGGGACCTATTCCTACCTGTAAAGTAAGGGCTAATTCTGTACCACCTCTAATTGTCATATAACTTTTAAATCTTAGCCTGTCTCTACCCAGTCCTATAAAGCAAGATAGAACTCTATGTGAGAAGGCTTCTGATCCTCCTGTTCTGCTGAAAGTAGCCAGAAAGGCAGCAAGCTCCTCAGCCTCAAGAACCCAGCCAGGGCTCCGTCTGACCTGGAGCTGTGCTCTGCTTCTCCCTATTTCACTCTAATCTTCAGCTTCAGTCATTTGCCACATCTACTCCTTCAACCGTATCTTTGTTCTGAGTTTTCTAGAACCCCATTCCCCTTGAATTTATACAAATTTTTATAATCAACAAGATTGGCCTCCCTGATCCACTACACTCATATCCTCAACTGTCTCCTGTCTTCCCCATCATGCTTCCTCTTCCCCTTGCCTGATTTTGCACAAGATGCCTCATGATCTTGCCCAGGGAAGCCTCCCCAGATTGGCTGATCTCAGGGCTGCCACAAAGGCACCTGCTGATGGGGCAAGTTGAGGACTGAACTGCATTCAGCTTGCCAATTCCTGCACCCGGCTCAGAGCTGTGTCTACTGGAGGAAGTGAACCTTTTATTTTCTCCCAAAAGTATCACCTGTTCCCTGTTCTCCAAGCGACATGCCACAGTAGGCTCTTTCTAAGCTCTTTTTCTATTTTGCAGCACAGTTCCTTTTTTTTTTTTTTTTCCAGAAAGGGTCTCACTCTGTTGTCCAGGCTGGAGTGCAGTGGCACAATCATGGCTCACTGCAGCCTTGAGCTCCCAGGCTCAGGCGATCCTCCTGCCTCAACCTCCGGGGTGGCTGGGACCACATGCACATACCACTACACCCATCTAATTTTGTATTTTTTGTAGAGACAGGGTTTCGCCATGTTGCCCAGACTGATCTCCATCTCCTGGGTTCAAGCGGTCCGCATGCCTCAGCCTCCCAGAGTGCTGGGATTACAGGTGTGAGCCACCGTGCCAGGCCAAAAGCTAGAATCTTGTCTATGATTTTGTGTCCTGGTGCCTAGGAAAACTTTTTTTCTGCTGCCTCAGTTCGAGCTCAGTGATAAATAAGGAACTGAGGTTAGATAACAGGTAAAGTCTAGGACATGCAGGATGAGTGAATCAGGTGAGGGAGTGGTGGTCTTCTTCCTTGTCAGCAAGGCTAGGTTCAGGGGCACCTGGACTGACGCGAGAGGCTGGCTGAAATTGCCTCGTGGAGGGCCCTGCCAGTGATGCCCCCTCCAGCAAATGGGGCCAGCTCTATGCAAATGTGTTCTTGCCCAGGAGTTTGGTTTCTTCTTTCTGAGCTCCTGGCACAGTGGAACCAACGTGAGCAGCTGCTTGGCAGGACAGAGAAGGGCAGACTAGCAGTCTCAAAGCTCGGGTGACAGGACCAGGCCCAGGAGACGGGGATGTTGACTGGGGCTTTAACAGCACTCTTGATGCCAATCTCGGGCTGAAAACTCGATATTTCCACTTGGAACAACAAGAATCACCAGCAAGAGAGCTGAGGAGAGGGCAGTATACCGGGGGTGCCCCCTGCAGGCCTCACAGGGTGGTGCCAGAACAGAGGAAGGTGGCATAGGCAGGGTGAGGCTTTTAGGACATCCCTGAGATGATGGTGATGATGGTGACCATGATGATGACCATGAAGAAGACAATGAGGAGGAGGAGGAAGAGGAAGATAGTAGCTAGCATTTACTGAGTACTAACAATGTGTCAGGCATTGCCTTATGTAGTCTTCATGACAACCCCCTAAGAGATGAGTAATATGGTTGTTCTTTTTCTAGACGAAAAATCTGAGGTTTAACGAGGTTAAGTAATTGGTTCACCCAGCTAGTAGTGGACAGAGGTGGGATTTGAACCCAAGTCATTGCCTCCCAAGCTTATATTATCCAGTACAGAATTTCTCACCTTACCAGGTCATTCCAGGAGCTTCTAGCCCTCCGTGTCCATCTCTATGTCTTCCTGCTCCTCTAGCTCATATTTTCTTGATCCAAATTTATAGGATCTGGATAAGAATAGATCCATATCTGGGATATAATAACACTGATAACAATAACAAAAACACTTTGCATTTGTAAACCACTTTCTTCTCTTCATTATTTCCCTGGGGAAAAATAAACAATAAGATATTTCTATTTCTCCAAATTTTGTTCTGATTTTTATCGGTGTTCCTGAAGCTATTTCAATATAGTCATGATCAATTTATAAGAATAATTTTAGGTTCTGCTTTTTTATGTAACTGTGTTATATACACATTCACATATTTAAACACAGCAATTATTATGGCTTTACAGTAACCCATGATGTTAATATGCCACAGATACTACATTACTGAGGCAGTGTAACTTTGTGAAGAGAACACTAGGCTGAGGCTGACAACACCAAATGCCGGCAGGAATGTGGAGCATCAGGAACAGGAATTTGTGGCTGATGGGAATGCAAAATGGTACAGCCACTTTGGAAGGAAGTGTGGCAGTTTCTTAAGAAACTAAACATACTCTTACCATATGATCCAGGAATCATGCTCCTTGGTATCTACCCAAAGGAGATGAAAATCCACTAATGGATGTTTATAGCAGCTTTATTCATCATGGCCAAATCTTGAAAGCAACCAAGATGTCCTTCAGTAGGTAAATGGATAAATAAACCATGGCCATCCTGAAATGGAATATTATTCCGTGCCAAAAAGAACTACAAAGCCCTGAAAAGACATGGAGGAACCTTAAATTTACATTACTAAGTGAAAGAAGCCAATTTGAAATGGCTACGTATTGTACAATTCCAACTATATGACTTTCCAGAGAAGGAAAATTATGGAAACAGGAAAAAGAGCAGTTGTTGCCAGGGGTTAGGGAAGGGGCATTGACTAGGCAGAGCGTAGAGAACTTTTACAGCAATGAGACTATAATGGTGGATACACATCATTGTACATTTGTCCAAACCCACAGAATGTACAACACCAAGAGTGAACCCTAATGTTGACTATGGACTTTGGGTGATTATGATGTCAATGTAGTTTCATCACATGTAAGCAATATGCCACTCTGGTGGAGGATGTTGACAGTGGGAGAGGTTGTGCATGTGTGGCGACGGGGGTATACGGAGACTCTCTATAACTTTCCTGTCAATTTTGCTCTGAATCTTGCCTTGTCGCCCAGGCTAGAGTGCAGTGGCGCGATCTCAGCTCACTGCAAGCTCCGCCTCCCGGGTTCCTGCCATTCTCCTGCCTCAGCCTCCCGCGTAGCTGGGACTACAAGCACCCGCCACCACACCCGGCTAATTTTTGTATTTTTAGTAGAGACGGGTTTCACCATGTTAGCTAGGATGGTCTCGATCTCCTGACCTCATGATCCGCCCACCTTGGCCTCCCAAAGTGCTGGGATTACAGGCGTGAGCCACCGTGCCCGGCCTAAGAAGTCTTTTAAAAAAAAAAAATTAAAAAGCATGAGGTGATACAGATGTGGGAGTTTGACTCCTATCTCTGTCCAACTCTGTGACATTTGATAAATTACTTAACATGCCTCAGTTTTAGTTTCCTCATCTATAACTGGGAACAATAATACCTATCTGATAGAGTTGCCATGGGTATGAAATGAGGCATGTGTCTCGTTCATATCCGATATTCAATGAATTAGTAGCAGTAGCCACTGTGTGTTTGTGTGTCTTTCTCCCTCATGGTTAATGAGCTCCTTGTGGGCAGGGACTTACTCATTCTGTAACCACCCATCTAACACACTGCCTGGCACTTGGGCTCCATAGAAGTTTGCTGAGTGAATACTTAGTAAGCTCTAACCTAGGCTTTTCTCTCTGGTGGACATTTGGGTTGTTTCCAGGGTTTTTGCTATGAACAAAATACATTTCAAAGCCTTCGTGTTTTTGTTGTTGTTGTTGTTTTGGGTGTTTTTTGTTTGTTTTTCATTTGATCTGCACACCCTGTGAAGCAGGCAGAAAGGGGATATTTGCACTTGTCCACACCCTGGTATAGATGGAATAACTGTGGCTCAGGGAAGTGAAGTGACTCCTATGGTCACAGTGCAAATCAGTGACAATAATTAGAACCCCTGACCCTGCCTTCCTTCCTTTAGTAGATCTATTTTCCTTCTAGCTACCGCCTTCTGGATCCATGGCCTCTCCAGAACTAGAGACCGTGATGGTCGGCCTGAGCTGAGAGCAGCACCTGCACACAGAGACCCATGTTGAAGGTGGTGAGCTGCCAGTTCCCAGATGGCCCTCTGAAACCCCAGGGAACCTAACACCTTATTCTCAAATACATGAAGACTTGTATTTTCCCCGAGCAAGGAGCTTCTTAGGAAAGAGCCAGTGTGCCAGCTTTGTTTTTCTTTCTTCTTCTTCTTTTTTTTTTTTCCTATGAGGGGGTGAGGAGCCAAGCTCTGAGTTGTCCAGAAGGAGGGACTTAGGCTAAAAATAGCTATGGCGTGTGGTTTGGATCAACCCCTAGTGGTACCCAGGACTGGGGAGGGGAGGGGGATGCTCTGGAGCTGTCGCCAGACTGGTTGCCGTGGAAACGAGAGAGGAGCAGGGGAGCCTGGGAAGTAGGGATGACACAGATAGCAAGTCCTAGTCAGAGCCGCCGCTACATTTAGGAGAAACAGCGGTGTCTGCGGCTCCCACCCTTCAGGGGGCCCGTGGGGGGGGCGGTGTCAGGGGCATGGACGCCACCCCCCAGGGGTCTCTGCTGCCGGCTACTCTCCTCTCCACGTGCTGTGAGTTGAGTTGCGGGGGACTTGGGGTTTGGGCCCCTATTTCCAAGGCAAGTGGGGGTTTGGGAGGAGCTGGTTCTTGGGGGAGTTTACACCAGGTCTCTCCTTCCAAAAAATGAGCCCCCTTACTCCCCAGATCTCTAGAGGGAGGAAGAGGGGCCCAGGAAAAGTGGTACTGCGATCGTCTGCAAAGGGGTCATAGCATGCACAAGAAATGAGGAGTAGGTTGGAGGAACTGAAATTCTTGGAGGGAAGATGGAGAAATCAAGTCCTTGATCTTGGGATAGAGGTAACAATTTCACACTTTCCCTTCCCCTGAGAAAACTGCAGTCCCCCACTCAGGAAGACAGGATTTGGGACACATTCAAAATAAGGTTTGCCTAGATCCCTGGGGCAATGGAGAGTGAGAGAGTTCTGGGAGTGATCAGACATTGGGGTTCCTTCCCCATCCCTGGGCAAACAGATCTGCCTAAGCAGGCCGACTGGGGGTCAGATTACTTATGACCCTGAGAGAACATCTGGAAGCCTACCTGGAACTAAAGCTAGGATGATGAGAGCAGGGTCGTTTTCTGCATGACCTGGGGTCTCTGAGCCAGTCAATGCTTACTCTTCCTAAGGACATCTGAGCTTCAGGGAAGGAAAAGGAAGCTCATTGTCGGGGGCAGGGGAGACCCTAATCTTCCATTGCCATGGGGCTCTTGGACCCTGTGTCCCCTGACTCCATGGACAATAAATGCAGGGGGTGCCCCTAAGCTCAAAGCCATTTCATTTTGATTTCTCTTCCTGCTCTCTCTACCCCAACACACACACACACACACACACACACATACCCTCTCCAGAGTGCTGACTGCACAGCACCTCACCCCAGAACATAAAATGCTGGAGTGCTAGGTTTAGAGTCACATACCCAGGCAGTTTCTCCCCAGGACCTGGTCAACCATCCAGGCCATCTGTGGTTCCTATGGCACACTCCTCCATCCCCCACCCACTAGCCAGCCCACGTTTCCGTGGAGTGGGAGGAGAGGATCATTCCCAGGAAAGAGAAGGGAAGGTAGAAGAGTCCCAAATCCTTATTCTAAACCTTTCCCTGTATGGTCCATATCTCCCAGAGGACCCTGGGTGCTTTGGGGAAGGGCTTTGGACCTCTCTCAGAGCAGATTGCAGCTCAGAGAACTCCTCAGAGGGAAGCATGTGAAGCAAAAGCAGGTGGGCTTCACTTGGAATGTGGGCTTTGGGGCATATGGCAGGTGGGGGCGGGGCTGGTGTTAGGATAGTCCATGGGAAGTAAGAGGCTGGGGGAAAATATAACTAGAGGGAGTGGGGAAATAAATGTGGGTGCTTGGTGCTTCACTTGATCTGATTCCATGTCTCTCATGAAGAATAGGATCCCAGAGGGATATGAGCCTAACTCTTGATAACTCTGGGCTTCCTTTCCCAGGCCTCTGTGTGGGGATCTTCCAGTTCCCCTCCCCATTTGCAAGCTGTCTCCACTAGGAGAAAAAACCCAAGGGAAATGGGGCTGGCCCAAGAGCAGCAGTGATCGGGGGTAGGTCTCAGGGAGGATTTCTAGTGGGAATTTCCTAATGTTCCACCCTTGTGCACTGGAGGGTTTCCACTGACTTTCCACGGCTTTCACTTTTTTCTCCTTTGTAAGCGTGTTGAGGGGAGGGAGTGGAGTGGAGTGAGTGAGGTCCAAGGAGGGAAGAATGAGAAAGACTGTGTGTCAGTCTTGGGGTGAACTTCAAAACAGCCTGCGAGGAGAGCCATTGGTGGTTGCACTGGCTACAGCTGGGGAAGAGATGGTGGAAATCCTTAGGGCAGGGAAAGCTCCATTACCAGCCTGCCCCCCTCCCCAAAAAGCCCCCAGCCTAGTGATTTCAGGAAGTCACTAGGGGGATCTGGGCCTGGGTCTTTGGCCCCGGGGCTGCCCTAGAGGTGCTGCACACCCCAGCTGCAGGTGATGGCACCAAGATCCCTGGTACCTCTTTCCCCTGAAAATCATCGTGGAACTTCTACAGTTCTATCCAGTTCAGGTACATTATTCCATTTGACCCTCACCACTTTCTGAGCCTGGGGGGCAGTTAGGGCTGAATGTGTTATTCCCAGAAATAGAGGCTGGGAAACACGAAGGGACTCGCCCAGGGCCCTCAGGGCTCGGTGCTGGCCCTGATGTCCCGTGTCTCCCCATCTCCCGAGGGGCCACTCATTCGGCAAACCTTTATTAAGCCCCTCCAGGATCCCCGACGCCGCCGAGGCGCCCAGCGACGCGCGGCGGGTGGCGGCAGCTCCGGCCACCGCCGCACTCCAGGCGCCCGCAGCGCTCGCCCTGACGCGGCCGCCATGGCGCAGGAGAACGCCGCCTTCTCGCCCGGGCCGGAGGAGCCGCCGCGGCGCCGCGGCCGCCAGCGCTACGTGGAGAAGGATGGCAGGTGCAACGTGCAGCAGGGCAACGTGCGCGAGACATACCGCTACCTGACCGACCTGTTCACCACGCTGGTGGACCTGCAGTGGCGCCTCAGCCTGTTGTTCTTCGTGCTGGCCTATGCGCTCACCTGGCTCTTCTTCGGCGCCATCTGGTGGCTGATCGCCTACGGCCGCGGCGACCTGGAGCACCTGGAGGACACCGCGTGGACGCCGTGCGTCAACAACCTCAACGGCTTTGTGGCCGCCTTCCTCTTCTCCATCGAGACCGAGACCACCATCGGCTACGGGCACCGCGTCATCACCGACCAGTGCCCCGAGGGCATCGTGCTGCTGCTGCTGCAGGCCATCCTGGGCTCCATGGTGAACGCCTTCATGGTGGGCTGCATGTTCGTCAAGATCTCTCAGCCCAACAAGCGCGCCGCCACGCTCGTCTTCTCCTCGCACGCCGTGGTGTCGCTACGCGACGGGCGCCTCTGCCTCATGTTCCGCGTGGGCGACTTGCGCTCCTCACACATAGTGGAGGCCTCCATCCGCGCCAAGCTCATCCGCTCGCGCCAGACGCTGGAGGGCGAGTTTATCCCGCTGCACCAGACCGACCTCAGCGTGGGCTTCGACACGGGAGACGACCGCCTCTTCCTCGTCTCGCCGCTGGTTATCAGCCACGAGATCGACGCTGCCAGCCCCTTCTGGGAGGCGTCGCGCCGTGCCCTCGAGAGGGACGACTTCGAGATCGTTGTCATCCTCGAGGGCATGGTGGAAGCCACGGGTAGGAGCGGGCCTGGGGAGGGGAGCGGGGCTGGCAGAGGGTGGGCAGGGCCCAGGAAGTCAGGGGCAAGACGAGGGGCCCGGGGAGGTGGGGAGGATGGGTGGAGGGGCTGGTGGAGGATGACAGAGTGAGGTGAGACAGGGGTCGGGGGTGGAGGTGGAACCGAGCAACGCTGCAGAAGGCCAAGAGAAAGCTTGGAGGAATTCTTCGAAATGACACTGGCGTGGGGCCCTGGGCCCAGAGGAATGTGTCACTTGGAATAGGGAGAGTAATAATAGCTAGTGCTCAGCCAGTACTCACCCTGTGTCATGCACAGTTCCAAAGCACTTTCCACCTCTGAGTCGATTTAATCCTAACAAGATTAAAGGTAACTTCTTGTTATTGTGCTCAATTTTCAGAGACGAGATTGCTCCAATGAGAAGTTAAGGAAATTGTCCACTTTCCTAAGCCAATAAGTGGCCATGCCTGGATTGGACACAGGCAATGTGGCTTCAATGTTTAGTGGTCCTGAGTTGGAAGGAGGGGTTAGGTTCAGGGGTTTTCTCACTGCAGCCAGGTTCAGGCCCCTGGAATTTGACGGTGAAGGTTTTCCATTGCCTGAGTTATTTCTAGGCTGGATCTTGAGGGGAGCTTAATACCTGGTCTCACTTCTGCCTCGGTTTCCCAATTCATCCATTTCCACTGACAAGGGATATAGATGATGTTACCATTTCTAGCCCTTTTCCAAAAGGAACTGGCAACTCACCTGTGATGTCAATAAGTCCAACCCAGACCTACACAGTGAAGGCTTTGGAAGCAGGTGGGAAAAGACCAGTGTTACAGGAGTCGCAAAGGAGTTTACTTAGGACTTGAGATCTAGAGGATGGATGAGGATGAGGAAACTGCGGGTGGAGGACCAAAGGCCCACTAGGGGGCGCGGCAGTCCCTGCTTCTGACGCCAGAGTTGCTGATGCTCCCTGCCGGCTTCGCTGACAAGCTGGTGCCTTCAGATGCTTTCCCTGGCCCCTTTAGGCTGAGCCTCCGCTTCACACCCCAACCCCACCTCCCCATCACTGTTTCCATTCCTGCTTAACCCCGACTCTTTCCCCTTCCCCCATTCACCCCGTTCCCTTTCCTCTCTCTCTCTCCAGCTGTCACTCCTTTTTTGCCAGTATCTCAGGCAGGCCCCTCACCCTCCAGTGAAGTTCCTGCCCGGCCCTCTTTTCTCTTTGTACCCCCAGCCCTGCCCTCTCCTCCTCGAAGCCCTTCTCTGCCCAGTGTCCCTTATGCCTCTTTCTTCTCTCTCCCACTGGATATTTTCTATCCCAGCTTCACTGAGAAATACCAATGTCTCAGGGCCAGGCTTTCCGAGCTGACAGCCACTCTCCGGTTAGCTAATGTTCACTCTTCTGTTTCCCCTTGTTCCGAGATGGATACTGGTTGGGGGCAAGACCCTGTGACAGAAAGGAGAATGACCTGCCCTGAGGGGTGCACCAGTCCAACAGGAAGATAAGACACAGGCCCCGGACAGGGAGGACGAGGACAGAGGAGATAAGGATAGGAATCTGTCTGTTTTTCTAGAGAGATAAAGCTGGAAAGGATGGTAATATTTTGGGTGAGACAGTCAGGATTCAAGACGCTTTTGAAAAGCAAGAATAATGAGCCAAACCCCAGCAAGATGACATTTAAAAGGAATAAATATAAAATTCTACATTTAGGCTTTAAAAAAATCACTTATGTAAGCACAGCATGGAAGAGCACTGGTGAAAAAAAGAACTGGGAGTTTTAGTTGGCTACAGGCTTGATGTCGTAGCAATGTGATGCAGCCTCCAAAATGATTATGTAATGTTATCCTGGGCCCTATTAGTGAAAGCGTCATGGCCAGAAGAGAGAGATGGTGCACCTTCTCTTATGCACGGAGCAGGCCACAGTTGGAAAATTTACTACACTCAAAATGCTTAAAGGGCCCTCCTTGGCCATTCTGGCTTGTAATCAAACAAGTAGAATTTTGGAAAACCAGGTCACATGAGGAATCGTGGAGGAAGCCAGGGATGTTAAGTCAAGAAGAGAAAACATGAGGGAATCTGAGACTCCTGTTTTCAGATACTCAAAGGACTGTGAAGTGGGAGAGGAATGACGCTAAGGGTTGGAAATCCCAGGGGACAGGTTTTAGCTCTGTATAAAGAACAACCCACCTATTAGAGCTATCATACAAAGGAGTGGGTCCTTTATGAAGTGGTGAGCTATCAATCCTGGGAGGTAATCAAGCACAAGCCAGATGCCCATTGTTAGAAATGCTCCTTTGGGGAGCCCTATATGGAGTGAGAAGTTGGACTAGATGATCCCCAAGGTTAGTTTCAAGGTTAAGCTTTTTTTGGCTGGCATCACCTAATGACAAGAGGGGAAAAAAGAGCTGGAGATGAAGAGGAATTGGGGCAAATGGAGAAGAGGTGAGGGAGCTGGGTAAGAACAGGAGCTAGGGCGGGGGAGAAAATGGACTGGACCAAAGGGAGGTGGGAGCCCTTAGGAAGGAATAGAAGGGAGGATGCTGGGAGTAGGGTGGTGGAATGAGAAGAGGAGAGGGAAGCCTGGAGCTGAGATCCCCCCTGACTCATGCCCCACCTCTCAGGAATGACATGCCAAGCTCGGAGCTCCTACCTGGTAGACGAGGTGCTGTGGGGCCACCGCTTCACATCAGTGCTGACTCTGGAGGACGGCTTCTACGAGGTGGACTATGCCAGCTTTCACGAGACTTTTGAGGTGCCCACACCTTCATGCAGTGCTCGAGAGCTGGCAGAGGCTGCGGCCCGCCTTGATGCCCATCTCTACTGGTCCATCCCCAGCCGGCTGGATGAGAAGGTGGAGGAGGAGGGGGCGGGGGAGGGGGCGGGTGGGGAAGCTGGGGCCGACAAGGAGCAGAATGGCTGCCTGCCACCCCCAGAAAGTGAGTCCAAGGTGTGACCAGCTTCCTCCGGACCCCTGTGGCAGACCGGGGGCCAGACACAGGTACATGGGGAACTGCATATCGGAGGAGAAGGAGGAGGAGAAGGTAGGCAAAGCCCCTGGAAATGTGCTAACGTTGGAAAGTCCCCATCCCCCAGAATCTCAAGTCTAGAATCCAGTATGGAAGGGAGGGGTCCTGATTTCAGGGAAATGGAGGGTGGGGCCAGGTGAACATGCCAGTCTGTGTTTGACCTTCACATTTGTTCATGAGTGGATGGATGGACAGAAGGATGGACTTTTGGGGGTTGGATGGGAAGATGGTGGCAGATAAAGACAGCTGACAGATACATAAATGGACCAATAGACAATTGGTTCACTCAGGGCTGCCACTAACCTGTAGAACACCTCTGTGCAAATTCTAAAAAGGAACCCTTTTCCTCCAGACAGATACAGCCCCAAACCAGGGTGCATGGCTTGGGGAGCAGAGTGTAGGATGGATTGCAGTCCCCACTCACCTCTTCTGCCAGCCTCCCCACATATGGCACAACTGTCTAATGACACGGTAGGCCAAGCTGAAGCAAAGGAGAAAGGAGCCGCACCAAGATGGACACATGAGGAGGGTGCCCTCCTAGCTCCACCCTCCCCAGGATGAAGGGGTGCAAGGGGGCTCAGCAAGGTGTGAATGACCTTAGTCTGCAAGTTCAGGGAAGCAGGCAGAGCAGGGCGGTGCCCGAGCTGGGACCTGGAGAAGGGCCTGGGAAAGGAAAACCAGTGATGGTTATTTTCTTACAGTGGAGTGAGATCTTACAGGTATCAGGCACAGGCAGGAAGAGGGAGAGAGCTTCTGAGGAGGAAGGGACAGAGAGAGATCTAGAAAGTGGGTTCACTAGAGCTGGGACACAGGGAGCCCCTAGGAAAGCAGTGTGTCCTTGGGGCACAGTCATTCACATCACTGATTGGGTGCCATGTGGAGTGGACATTCAAAAACCTGGTTCCTGTCCTCAAAATAAGGGGCACCTGGGAAAACAGAGGAATTGACCTGTGGCGACCGAACAAGGGATGATTCAAACTGACAACCTGTGCAGTCCCGCGGAGGGTGGGGGAGTGTGGGTGATCAGAAGGCTGGGGCCGGTGTAAGCCATGAGGAATATGTAAGTCAGGAGTTAGAAATCTTCAGTGTGCATTGGAATCACCTGGAGGGCTTGTTAAAACACAGATTTTTGGGCTCCACTCCAAGGGTTTCTGACCCAAGAGGTGGGTCAGAGAAAAATGTGCATTCCTAAGAAGTCCCCAGGTCATGCTGTTGCTGCTGGACTGGGGACCACACTTTGAGAACCTGTGCTCTAAGCAAAGACTTGGAAGTCGTATCAGGACATGGGGTATAGAAACTGAGGAGTAGCTGAGAGGAAGAGGAGAGAAGCTAAGAAGAAGCTGAGGATCCTCACAGGAGCAGACAGAGACATGTGAAGGGCGGGGTTTTGTGTGTGGGAAAGGGACCCGAAGCCCAGGCTGAAGAGTTTAACTTTGGGCCCAGGAACTCAACCATCAGTGGAAACAGGGCAGTGACAAGTGGAGGGGGTGTCTGGAAGCTGAGCAGGCCCGACAGAGAGATGAAGCCATCAGAAGGACTTGAGGGGGTTCCTGGGGAGGCCAGGGGGAGGTGGAACAGGAAGGGTTTTAGGGGCAAAGGACAGAACCCCTTGTAGGACTGGAGGCAGGATTGAATGTAGGAGAAAATCTGAGAGAAGTGATAGGAGTCAGAACATCTGGATGTGTCTGCAGCCTGCTGTCAGCCCAACTGGGCCAGGGGGTCCCAAAGACACATATTCTCACCCCACCTCCACCTGCTTCCTGATCACATCCCAGTCACCAGCGGCAGCTTCCTGGATGGTGGGGAAGAACAATGGCAGGTTGAGAGGGGCAGAGGGGTGCAAGGGACCTGAAGCTGGCCTGGAGAAAAGCGTAGGCCCAGGAGAGCCTGCCTTGGGACAGTGCCTGTCTCCCACACAGCAGCACTGGCCCAGCAAGAACCTTCTCCCTTGGCCCTGGCCACATCCCACTCCTGCCCTTTCATAAGCCCCCTGGGGAAAGCACTCGTCTTCTCTGTTCCAGGCTGGACAGCCAGGGTCCTATGGGCACAGCCAGGGTCCTGTGGGCACAGTCAGGGTCCTATGGGTCCTCTGGAAGCAAGAAAGGGGGCCATGGAAGGAGCCCAGACAGTTTGGGTTCACTCAGAGAGGACCCAAGTCCCAGTCCCTTCCTTTCAGTCAAAGCACGGATATCTTTGCCTCAGGTCACAGGGCCACCAGGGGGTCCTGTCATCAAAGATGAGATTCCTGAATGCTGGTATTGGCTGGTCCCCTAAGAACAGATGTTGGGGTGTGGAATGGGGATTCACTTGGGTTTCAGAAAAACAGGGGAGTCTGGACAAGAGGGGATGGGCTACTTGGTATCCACACACACGCACTCACACAGGAGCCAACCCTTTGCAACTGAACAAGCAGAGAAACTGAGGCTGGAAAGGCCCCTCCTGCCTGCTGAAGTCACTGGGACCCTGCCACACCTCTCCTCGCCACTGTCACCACTCAGGGCACCACTGTACAGTGCAACAAGTCAGGAGACCTAGGTCCTACTCCTGACACTTGCTAATTAGCTCTATGACTCTGGGCAAATCGCATATCTGGGCCTCAGTTTCCTCATCTGTAAAAATGACACTTAGCAAACTCGTAATGCTCAATAAATGTTTAAATAACAACTGAAGGAGGCCTACTGGATGCCTCTTAAGGTGCTGTGCAGGTAAGAATTTTGTGCCATGCAGGTAAGAATTTTAGGATCAGAGAATCCTTAGGCAAGAAAATTCATGAAACTCCTGGGGCACTGGAGGAGGGGTGAAGCTGAAGGATGGGAGGGAGGAGATCCCAGGGTGGGTATAGGCAGGTGAAGCAGGTATATGCGGGTGTAGCAGGTATATGCGGGTGTAGTGGGTGTATGCGGGTAGTGGGTGTATGCAGGTACAGCAAGTACATGCGGGTGCAATGGCTCTGTGGACACACAGGCCCTCCCCTGACTGCCTGTTGTCCCAGCCTGAGTATCAGTTGTGTTCTGAGGCTTCTATTCTGCTGCTATCAGTCAGAAGGAACACGAATTGCAGCCCCAGGGCCTAGTGGGAGGACTCAGGTCCAAGACTAGCCTGACCAGGAGAATAAGAAGAGTGGGGGGAAAGTCTGGGGAGCTCAGAAAAGGCACTGCCGCTGGTGGCCCATGCCCTTTAACATGGGAGAAGCTGGGGAGGGGGGACCACATGCAGCTGGAACCTACCCTCCTTTTCTATGCTTCCCTCTCCAAGTAGGAGTCCAGTCAGGAGTTGTCTCAGCCCTGACAGTTCAGGCAGCAGATGGAACCCAGGTGTCCCCTCCTGGGGTAGGTGGTATGGCCCGCGGAGGCCAGATGGTGTTTGTGGTGGGAAGAGAGGCCTGGGTCGTCCAGAATAGGTTGTCAACCCCCAACCACCTCCCTACTGTGCACCCTGAGCCTTTTACAGTCTCATGGTAGGGAAGACACAGCCAAGCCTGCTTTTTATAAAACCAGTTTATTCACTTTTTAGAAAAACTAATTCCAGGATGGGGAATGGCCTCCCTATAGGATCCCTATGAGATCAAGAACAGAAGGCCAGAGGGAGGGGCTTGGGAGGGAAGGAGTGGGGAAGGGGAGGCATGTCTCCCATTCTGGGTAGTGGGAAGTCAAATAAATTAAACGAAGAGTGGACAGAGGGAGAGGGTGTCCAGGCAACCAGAGGAGGGCTTGGAGCTGGGCTGGAAGACAGTCAACACCTGCAAGACCTGAAAAGGGCGCCCAGCGTGAGCTAAGGACAGAGAGCCCTGCGTGGGGCTCCCTCGCGGCCTCCACCCCTTAACAGGGCCCTGTGGATCTGAGCTGCCTACTCCTCCTCCAGATGGGGCCTGGGAGGGAGCAGCTTGATTCAGGACTTGGTGGTGGGAAGCCCAGTGAAAACAAGGTTGGGGGGTTCTTTTCCCTCACCTGGGGAGTAAGAGATCACCGTTTTCGAAGCCTCTTCATGAAGCAGCAAGTGATGGTACCAAGGACAGTGGCACCAGTGACTAGGGCCACCCCTGTACCCACCAGCAGAGGCACAAACAGGGTGTCCAGGGCTGGGGGAGAGAGTATGACTGTTCAGAGAGGATGCCATCATCCTCCACCCATCACACTTGCCTCTACACGTTCCCCATCAAGTTCTCTGAACCCACCTTCTCCATTCACAGGCACCCCTATCCCTGCCCACAGCCTGCCCCCTCAGCATGCAAGTCAGCATCAACCACAGAGGACCCCATGCAGGTGGGCACTGCAGGGCTGGAAGTTGGATGTTTTGAGACTTCATGTGACAGGATGTGGAGGAGAGAGAGAGTAGCAGGAGGGTGAGAAGATGGGAAGGGAAGGCCAGCAGCAGGGGCCGGGAGGAAGGCAGAGTGAAGAGGGTGGAGGGGTGTCACTTACCATGCATGTAGGGGTAGACTGTAACAGGCCCTGAGCGGGCACTGCCCGCCTGGTACCAGCTGTAGTCGGCATGCTGCACCCAGGCGCTGGGGGCGCAGTGGTACACGCCTTCATCCTCGGGCCCCAAGCTGTGCAGTCTCAGCCGATGGCTTCGGGGCCCCACCAGCTCTACGCTGACAGGGCCTCCTCCAGGCCGGACTCCCAGCTCTGCCACACCATCCTGGCCCACGCCACCCACCAGCTGGGCAGGGACAGAGCTGAGCTCTCCGTCCTCTGGTCGCTCCACCCACCAGCTGGCGGCCAGCCGCAGTCCTGGGGGGCCACCCCGCACAGAGATGTTGCACAGCAGGGAGGCAGTCTCCCCCCGGTACACTGTGCCTCCTGCTAGCCACGCCACAGCCTCCAGCACCACGCCTGCAGAACAAAGGACATGGGGTCAGAGGGTGCAGGGCCAGGAAGCATGGGGTCAGAGCTGCTGCCAAGCACCGCCGCAGGAAACTCAGGGTATTCCCACAATATTGGGAGAAGAGGAGCGTGAGGCTGTGGCATGCAAGCAGCTGATGGAGAGGGAGGGGGGCATGGAAACAGAAGGAAAAGGGGTTGACAATCCTCGAACCGTGTCCAGGGCCCAGCCCCCTCTCACCTTCCTCCCGCACGTGCACAGGGAGAGGCCGGGAACGGGCACTGGCTGCTTCACGAAGCCGGGTCCCAGACCCCCGAACATAGGCTTTGGCGAGGCAGCGGTAGGTGCCCGCATCACCAGGCCTGGCAGCCTCTAGCCGTAGCCGGTATGTTCTGGATGCCACCTTCTCCATGGCAATGTGTCGGCCCTCATAGCCAGGGCCCAGGCTGCCCACACCCTCTGTGTCCAGCTGGGCTACCAGGCGGCCAGGCCCAGGTGCCCCCGCAGGTGCCATCTCCCAACCTACAGAGTATGCAGCATGACGGCCTGCTGGGGGAAGTGCCCCTGACACATTGCACAGCAGTTCCAAGGGCTCCCCTGGGCCGATCCGACGTTCACCAGGCCCCACTGTTACTGCCAGCTGGCTGGCTGAAACACAGGAAGGGGAAGAGGTGTCATGGAGGCAGGAGGGGACACAGAGGCACCTGATTCCCAATTTTCTGTTTCCTCCTTGACAGCAGCAACTTCAAAACCTCCTGTCTGCCCTTCACTGGGTATGATCATCTTTCTACTTGGGGGCTTGAATCTCACCCCTCAGCCATGGGCCTCCTATCTCTATACCCAATTTCTGAGCAGAGAAAACCCATCAAGGGCAGAGGGGGAAGAAATGCTAACAAGGCTGCTCACTCTGTGGAAGATGAGTTCCTTGGAGTCAGATGATAGCTCTCTGGTACCCCCTGCGGCCACAGCGCCCACCAGGATACTGTCCCTCCTAGCTCCCACAGTGGGATGTATAAGTGGTACTTACACAGTGTCTGCACGTCCACGTGGGCCAGGACAGCCCTTTTCTCTGCGATCTGGGCCCAGCTGCCATCAGGATCCTGAATCCACTCAGCGGCAGTGCAGTGGTAGGTGCCTGCGTCCCCTGCCTGGGCACCCCCTACTACCATGCGGTACCGATCGGTCCCTTCCTTGCCCAGACGAAGCTCCCCTGCAGCCAGTCGCTCAGCATAGGGAGCTCCGGCCTCCACGGCCAAGTCTGACCGGATTCCCACCACTTCCTGCAGAGTTGCTCGCCCAACTGGTGCCTCAGGCACAGATCGCCCAAAGGACACAGCCAGGTGTGTGTGCTTCTGTGTGCTTGTCCTCGCCAGGCAGCCCAGTGCCAGCTCCTGCCCCTCATGCACCATCAGGCGTGGGGGTGAGGTTGGGGCCTGGCGGCCTCGGGGCCCTGGGGGGGCAGCAGACACCTGGAGGGCATCTGGAAGAACTGGAGAGAACAGCTGGAGTGAGGGAGGGCTGGGAGCTGGCAGCCCTTGTTACTGTTTCCTGTGTACAGCCTATCTCCCTTAATAGACTGTGAGCTCTCAGAGGGCAAAGATTGCATGTTGTATTATTTCCTCTGTAACTCAGTGGTGCCAAGTGCAGTACTGGGCACAGCACAGGCACTCAATAAATACTTGTTGAATTTCATAGAACCAGCCCACGTTGGTTCTATGTTCGAGACTGACCCCTGTTTGAAATACTGAGAAAAGTGGTTCTGTCTGCCTTCTCAGAACACAAAGAAACTTAGTGAGAATGTCACACGGTCTCACTCCTTCCCTAACTCTACTCTCTTTGCCAGATCTGGGTCCTGTACTGTCCAGGAGTAGAGTCTATTCAACCCAATAGTCTTCCTCGTTCTTGGGAATGGAAAGGGGAATGGACAACTTCAGGACGCTTCTTCTCCCAGGAGGGGTCTTGATATGATAAGACAAGCACTGGCCTGGGTGAGGCAATCTGGGTTTGAGTCCCATATCAGTCACTGAGTTATTGGGCGACTTTGTGCAAGTCACTTAACCTCTTTGGGCCTCAAGTTCCTTGGCTACAAAACCTAAGGGGCAGTTAGATAGGTCACTTGTGGCTTTGACTTTCTGCCTTGAGAGGGTGTGTGGCCCCACCCCATCCCAGGGCCCAGTACCTCTCAGCTCCACCTTGCCGCTGTAGCTGCCCAGGTAGCGGGTATCAGTGGAGGGGGTGTGGCACTCATAAATGCCAGCATCCTGGGCCTGCAGGCGGGCAATCTTGAGCACCACAGCATCACCTTGTAGGCGCTGCACCTGCACCTCACCCGCCACCACTCGGGACTTGAAGATAGCATAGGAGAACTGGGTATCCTTGGTACTGACAATGCCCAGTGCAGTATCTGGGGCCTCAGGCCTATACAGGAACCACTCGAAGTTCTGCTGGGCAGGTCCCTCGTAGCCGGTCACATTGCAGGAGATGGAGACAGCTGTTCCAGTCACGCGGTACAAGGGCCCCTCGGGGACCAGCACTTCCCGGGCCCAGCATCCCATTCCTGTAGGGAAAGGCAGAAGAAGTTGGAGATGCCTGGTTCCCCATTCCATGCCCTCTGCCACCACAAGCACCATTCTTGATCTCTGCCTACAAAAGGAAAGGACACCTGGGGAAGATGGTCCACAGCTTGGACCCTGTTCTGAGAATAGGAAAGGGATGCTGTGATATAAGACACCTGGATCTCAAGAAGGTGGCACGGGCCCAGGATTGCCTTGGCACCTAGATGCATCCCATTTCTGGTGGACTAGAAGCAGAGCGCCTGAAGGCAGAAAGGAGTATATCTGATTCCTGACCTAACCAGGCTTTGGTTCCAGCTAAACCTTGATCTGTTCCTGCCACTCACCCACCTCCATGTCTGCCATTCCTTCCTCAGTGCCTGGCCAGGGGAGCCTTCTGGCTGGGGGATGCTGAGACTACATGTCCCTCCCTTTTGCTTGAGGGGAGCTGGCAGTCTTGCTCAGAAGTGCTAGTTGGCTCAGCTGTGTCACCTGGACCAGACAATGGAGCCAGTGACCCTAGCTGGAAAGGGCACAGGCCCAGTCAGTTCTCACCACACAATGCCCTCCCCCCTCCAGCTGCGCCATGAGCTCACTGCTTCTCTCACCCCACAGCGCTGCCCAGGCAGCTGGGGCTTCTGGGGCAAGGTCCAGGCTCTGCTCTCGCCATTGGGGCAGAAGATCCCCTCCTCCAGTGCCTGCCAACCTTCCTGGCTAGCCCAGCAGACACACAAGGCGCCTGCCCCAGTTCCTTAACAAAGCCTTCATTTGCATATGGTATGCATTCATTTACATATATGGCTCTCTTTCTGTAGGGAGGCATTAAATCCCAAGCTGCCCCTTCTCATCTCTCTCCCTTCAGAAAGACCAAACCTCTCTTCTTCACCCTACTCCACCCCTATGCCCAACTCTACCCCAGCAGATACTCCTGGCAGACTTAGAGGGCTTAGCTCCTCCCTTCTCTCCTTCCATAGCTCCCACTAGATAAAATCGCAGAACCTCAGAATGTAAAGAGGGCTAGGCTACCCCTCCCCCCTCCCCATTTTACAGATGAGAAAAGTAAGGCAGGAAAAGTATAATATCTTAGCCAAGATCATGCTGTCCCTAGATGGCTTCCACACCCTCCTCCAGAGGGGCAAAACCAGGGAGGAAAATGGGGAAACTCCAAGGCCAGGCCTGAAGGGACTGACCTCACCAACCAGAGTGTCACTTTTAGGCCTCCCAGGGGGATACCATGGACTTTCTGCAGAAGCTAGAGGAAAATGCCCAAGAGTCTGTGGTCAAACTCTACCCTCCAGCTTCTCGAGAATGGCTCCTCTGAACTTCCCCACCCTTGCTGCTGGGCTCCTAGCCCCTTCCTTTATCCTCTGGCTGAGTCACAGGGAGAACTCATGGTCTGTTGTTAAGGGCACAGGCTGTCAATCAGGAAGTGAGATTCCAGCACCATCCCCATGCCCAGCTGTGTGGCCTGGGATCCAGTCTCTTTCTGTCCTAGGCCTCGGTTTCCACACTGGAGGAGAACTAAGAGCTCCAGCTCCGACCGTGCATGAGTGCGTATGTGACTCAGGAGAGCCCTGCCCCAGGCCAGGCAAGTTTCATAATCAGGGTGATGGTGGAGACGGCCAAGCTGACACCTTCCCTGACTGCCTCGGGGCAGACTGCTCAGAAGGCCCCCTCCCATCTTCCTGGCTCCACAACTGCTGATGCTTGGAGATCCCCATGGGAAAGTTACCTCCACAGCCTTAGGAAATCAGTTGCCACACAGCTCTCTCTCCCCTCCTCTGTATTAGTTGCAGCAAGGAAAGGGAGAGCAAAGAGGCCTGCTTTGGAATCAGATCTGTGTTCAAATCCTAGCCCTAATACTCACTAAATGTGCTCTCTGGGGCAAGTTACTTCAATTTCCTCACTTGTGAAATGAATGTAAGTGCCCACAGGCAGTGGGTGCTCAGACGTCTGCGTGCTCCTTTTTCAACCACAGGCCAGCACTTCCCCACCTCCCTGGGCTCCTCCCTGCTCCATGCTGCCCACTGGGGAAAACACGGCAAGTGCTAGGCAACCCAGGTCCCACAGAGCCTTCCTCTCTGTACATCCTCCTGCCACCTGCCCAGGGACCAAGGAGAGGACTCATCCTAGCCCTGCAGGGCCCAGGGACCTGCAGCAGGGGAAGGCTTTGCTTGGTGCCACTGTGGAGCCCTGGTATAGAAACAGGCAGCTGGGGCTACCTTCAGCCTCTGCCTTGACAACAGCAGCTCTGAAGTCACCATCCCCACCTCCACACTTCACTCTCATTTCAAGAGCTTCAGCCTCATCAACATCTGTACTGGCAGTTTCACTTCTCCATGCCATACGCTTCCCCAGACCACCTCCTACAGGCAGCCTTCCAGTTCAGGCCAAAAACAATTCCACTGTCATTACCCCCATGCATCCATGCTCCATCCATGCTCAAGATTACCCCAGAACAACCCACCATGAACACCCACCACAGCAGGCACAAGGTGCTTTGAGATCCCAGGATCAGTCTCCATGGAACCTGGTTTCTCCTGAGGCAAGGAAGCTGGAACTAAGCGGGTGTGAAAACTGATGGGTGGCTGCAGAGCCAAGTGCCATTTGGGAGAGAGGAAGAAGGGCAAAGAGGGACCCAACCTGGGGTGGAGATGGGGGTGAGAGAGAGAACTGCCCCCAGTTGATGAAGTGTGTGGAGCGCAATTGGGAGAGACTTACTTCAAAGATCGTGGGCAGAACTGGCCTCTGGGCCTCCAGCCAACTCTAGGGCAATTATGAAGCTGGGCAGGCACTGCCCACGCAGGGCGGGCACCCAAGGCCAGGCCTGGAGCTGAGTGTGGGGCAGAAAGGAGTCGCAGCATTTGGTGCAGCGACCCCAGGACGTGGGTATGCTAGCTGAGAAGTGGGGCCTGCCCCAGGAGGCCAAGCAGTGCCTGGGGCAGCACTTTAGTGGGTCCTCCCTGTACCCCACTCCCTGACTTAGAGCTGGGGAGCCTGCACTCTTCCCAAGACTGGCTCGGCGGGCAGCCACACAGCGCAGCTGGCCGCCGACCCCGGGGAGGCTGGAGGTACCCCTGACGGAGGAGGATGTGAGGAGCCCCGAAATGCTCGGGAGGCGCTGGGTGGCAGGCACCTGTCCGGCGGGGCCGGGAACCGGAACGGGGGCCTGACTTACCTAGCATTAGCAGCAGCAGCAGCAGCAGCGGCGGCGGCGACGGCGGCAGCAGCGTGGGCCTGAGGGCGCCCATCCTGCGCGGCCAGCTCTGGGGAGGCTCCGGGGGATGGCGCGGGTTCTGGGGGGCCGGTGGGGTGGGGGGCGCATGCCCAGGTGGGGGGCAGGAAGCTGGGCAGCGAGGCGTGGGTGCGCCGAGCGAGCTGAGCTGGAGCTGCCGAATCCCCTCCCTCCGCCCCTCCCGTTGCTTTCCCTCCAGCCCTCGGCAGTTCTGAGACCATTCTAGCCCCGGCCCGCCCCGGCACCGCCCCTTCCTCCGCCCCGTCTAGGCCCGCCCCGCCCCGGACCCAGCCCTGGCCCGGCCCGCCCCACCCCGCCAGACTCAGTCCTTTGCTCCGCACTTGGCCCCGGCCCCGCCCTGCCCCTCGAAACTCACCTTTGCTTCGCACCGAGTCCCAGCCCCGCCCCGGTCCCGCCCCTCCCCGCCCCTCCCCGCCCCGTCCCGTCCCGCAAGACTCCAGCCCTGGCTCCGCCCCGGGTCTCGGCCCAGCCCCAGTTCCGGCCCCTCCCTCGCCCCGCCCCACCAGGACTACAGTAGGACTACAATCTTGGCTCCGCCCCGGGACCCGGCCCCGCCCCAGTCCCAAGCCCCACCCCTTCCCAGTCCCCCCAGGGCTAACGTCAGCCTCCAAACCTGACTCCGCCATGGACCCCGGCCTCGCCCCGCCCCTGGCCCTGGCTCCGCCCGAGGCCCCGGCAAGAGTGAGCTAATTGCACCTCGGCGCATCGAAATTCCCACCCACCCTCGCACAGAGCGCACCCCACCCCGCACCTGCCAGCCTTTCCTGGAGAATTGGGTGCAGGGGCCCTGGGATTGGCTGTGGCCACGCATTTAGAATTCAGTTATTTTCTCTGAGCCATAGTCCTCGCTGCAAACCCTGTTGAAGTAGGGGTTGGCAGAACCCAGGAGTTCCTAAAGGCGAAGGGTTTGAGCTGAAGGGCGCTTCCAGGATCCACAAGGTCACTGGAGACCTGTTTTTCACCCCCTCAGAGGGCAAAACCAAAAGAAAAATGGATTAAGAGAGGCAGCCGTCCATGTGACGTCATTTCTGGGTTGGGTGATCCTAGCCCAGTTGTTTAACCTCCTTCAACTTCAGTTTTCTCCTCTGCAAATTGAATTGAGGTTGATCACACCACCCAAAGGGGATGATAGGTAATGTACATAAAGTGTTTGGCACAGGAAACTAACACGAAATGGGAGATAACGAAGGATTATTTTGTTTTAGTTTTTGAATTATTATTTGAACTGCTTCCTAAGAGGCTTAATTTAGACCTAGTTTAGACCTGGCGTTTAGGTGAAGGAGTCTCTATGTTCAGTGACAGTGGGAAGAGATGAACATTGTTCTGGGAAGAGTGGGGCTTGCCCTGGAGGTGGGAGAATGGAGGAGGCACCCTTCAGGTGTTCTGTCTCTTCCTGAACTGTAAAGATGGGGAGTGGGGACGGGCAGGAAGGATGAGACCAAAATGGGGAGAAGAGATGGCCAGGTTTGCAAAGCCAAGGCTGTCAGAGTGGCTGTCAGTGGGAGGTGATCCCAGAGCCCATTTACCACCCTCTACCCTCCAACACCCTCCCTCTCCCCTCTTCCCTCCCACTCACTCACCCCCCCTTTACAGAAGAGGAAACTGAGGCCCAGAGAGGGTAAGTGGCACAGGCCAGACCAGACCTTCCTTGACATTGTATTCCTCAAGTGTGGCAGAGTGCCTGACTCTGAGAAGACGCTCATGGGGTTGCCAGTAGAAGCCACATTGAGGAACCCTGGAGAAGCCAGAGAAACTGAGGCCAAATGTTTGGGGCCTTGAAGGGAGATCAGAGGTCCAGCCCTCACCTCCCAGGACTGCCAGCACTGGCCCATGAACAGGGTAGTAGGGTGCCTTTTATTCCCACTTTGAAATATCCACAGCCTGGTTGCTCCGGAGCCTCATCATCTAAATCCATCCACAGGCATACTGAGCTATGTGACAACTGAAACTCATAGGGAAGCTTTTGGAAGAACACGTCTCTCCCTTTATAATGGATTTAATTATCGAGTGGATTGAATGCCTTCATGATGCTTGAGGGATGAAAGACGTTACCAATTGTAATAATGACATGTCATTTATGAAATGCTTACACAAGAAGGCCCTTTTGGATATTAGTCCTAGTCCTTATAGCATATTTTGCAAGGCAGTGTCATTTAACAGAAGAGAAACTTGAGGTTAGACAGGTTAAGTATCTTGCCCAAGGCCACACAGTTTTTAAGTGGCTAAGGGGTGACTTGAGCCCAGGTTTGTCTATCCCCAAAGCCCCAAATCTTCCTACACCTCACTGTCCCTCCTCCCAAGCCTCTCCACCCTGTAAACTCAGTCATTCAACAAATATTGATTGGGCCAGGCCTGGTACTGGGTACTGGAGATGCCATGGTAAACAAGGCAGGCCTGCTCCCCTGCCCTCAGGGAACATAGTTCTATATGTTAGGGATACATTTCATAAACAAGTCATAACCAACCCCCGGTATAAGCATGATGAGAGAAGTCTTCAGGGAGGTGAGATATCCTCTCTTACCCCGCGGCCTGGGACGGGGAAGGAGCTGGGGCAGTCTGGCGTTGAGAGCTGGGTTGGTGTCTCCCTCCAAAGGGCATAAGGCCCAAGGAGAGAGCAGTGTCTTCAGCAGGCCCCTCCCCAGACTCCGGGTTCCAGCGGCGGCCAGCAGGGGGAGCCCACAGCCCAGGCCTGACGGACCCCTCAGCTGCTTATGTAACTGGGAAAGCTGGGGGAGGAGAACAAACCCCAGGCACGAGGCACGTCACACACACGGACACATGTCCCCACTGTAATGGAGCGGGGATCATACAGAAAGACGGCTCCCAGAAACACACCCCCACAGAGCCATGCGCAAACACATACAAGCTGCAAAAACAAGGATGCGTGGTGTAGATTGGAGAGCACTCATCTCATCCATTAAAAACACACACAGGCCTCCCAGCACCTAGGCTGGTGCCCTAGGGTGGGGTGAGCAGAGAAAGGAGGAAGGAAGCCCTTCAGTGAGTTTCCAGGCCAGACTGAGACATGGAGGAGGGAGCCTGGGTTTGCAGAGAGACCTGGGCAGGCATGCAGTAGTGACCGTGAGGGACTCTGATGCCTGGCTGGGCTGTGTTGTCATTGCCATCACCAGCTTCCCACCTGCCCTCCATATACCACCCCAGGCATGGGCCTGCATCTGACACCGGTCCTGTTTCACATGAAACAGGTCTCATTTCACCTCGAGATGACAAGGCACCAAGGTGGCACTGAGGTGTCATGAGTGTTGTTAAAGATAATTGAGACCCACACTCTGCCCAAAAGCAGTTTATAATCCAGCTGATACGTGACACACTGCAGTCACAACCAAGGAGACAGCTCTCAGAGAGGAGCACGTTCAAAGACAGGACCATTCACATATGCTGGCCTGTGTCAGGCACTAAATGTGATCTCATTTATCCTCATGTGCTATTATTATCCCTGTGAGAAAACTGAGGCATAGAAAAGTTAAGAAACTTGTCCAAGGTTAATGGATTAGTTACTGTCCACACAGGGATTCGAAACTTGGATCGCCTCACTGTGGAGCCTGTACTTCTAACTCCTGTTATCTTGCTGCTTAAAGACAAATGTCACTAGGGACACAGTTAAATATGAGTTTAGCACACATGACTATATACCAAGTTGTAGACACAGATACTGCCATGGGGACAAAGTGACAACTATATCAAATCCATAAGCACACATGCTCATCAGACAGTCAGACATATAGAAATGGCACAAGCATACACATAGAACTCAGCTCTCTATCTTTTAAATGTGTATCAACCCTAGCTTTGTTGGGAGCTAAGGATCACACACAAGAATGTCCTGTGATTTGTGTGTGTTTATAAAGCGATGGCCCATACTGCCCTGATGAGCTATATTTTCCCACCCTTCCAGAAGGGAAAATTCTCTTTGCTGAGTTGCTGAGAGGCTCAAGCAGGGTCAGAGACAGAAGTAGTGCAAAAACCTACCCTCGCCCTGATAACAAACTCATTCAGAGACACACTGAAACAGAAGTGCACATACAAAGATAAACACAGAGACATTATGCACACCCAAACACCAAATACAGAACCACAAAGCCATCTCCCCCTCTGACACACACACATACACACACACACACACACACACACTCACACATACACTTGCATTCCACCCTCTCCCTCCCCGCTTTTCTCCCTGAGCCAGGCGTCTGCATCTTCATGGTGGAGTGTGTGTGTGTTTGTGTGTGTGTGTGTGTGTGTGTATGCATGTCTACTCTCTGAGCCCTCCTCTTGCCCTGGCTAAGCCCATACTCCTGCCCCCATTCTTGAACCCTGTGCCAAGGGGAGCAGCACAGCTGTTCAAGAATAGCAGAGCCACGATGCCACTGGGGCTTTGGCACGACCTGGCCCTGACTTCTGAGGGGGCCTTGCCATTTCTGAACCAAGGATTCTTGCCAGCTGCCACCCACGCTCGAATGCCATGCATGGATTCCTTGGAACTGGAATCCCCTCGGTCTCCCTCCTGACCTCCTGACAAGTTATTTGTTCCCCAGTCCCATCGGCGTGGGCGCCTGGGAGCCTGGGCTCCGCCCCAGATGCTCACCCATCCCACTTCTGCATTCCCAGTCTGCTAAGAGGGAACTGACAACTCAGATATGTCTGGAGGGTAGCGTGGTACTGAAGCAATCCCCACTGTGTGATATTACTTCTTCTCTAACTGAGGAGCCTAGGGTGGGGTGGGGGTCAGCCAAGGGCAGGAGATGGCAGGGGTTTGGTTAGACAGAGGTTTGTGGGCTGAGTGTTGTAGATGAGGCTCAGGGGGCAGGAGGCGGGTAGCACCAGGTGGCTGCCAGTCATTTACGAGTTTGTCTCCACCCAGCTGTGAGTGGGGTGAGAAGGGAACAACAATTGCTAATACCTACAGAGCATCTACTTCATGCTGGGCACCATTGCACACACTCTGTGCACATTCATTCATTCAGCTTTCGCAACAACCCCATGAGGTGAATACTACGAGTATCTCTATTTTACAGCTGGGAGACAGAGGCACAGAAAGCTCATATAATTTACCTGAGGTCACACAGCTAGCAAATGGTAGCACCCAGATGCAAACGCAAGCTATCTGACTCCCAAACTTCAGTTTCCCAAACATTCTTCTTCCCTTCTTCCTCCTGTTTCCCTAGCCTGCCCACATTTGCTGAGT